TTTTTTTTTTTTTTTTGAGATGGAGTCTCATTTTGTCACCTAGGCTGGAGTGCAGTGCTGCTATCTTGGCTCACTGCATCCTCTGCCTTAGCCTCTCAAGTATTTGGGACTACAGATGCCTGCCACCACACCCAGCTAATTTTTTGTGTATTTTTAGTAGAGGTGGGGTTTCACTGTATTGGCCAGGCTGGTCTCAAACTCGTGACCTTGTGATCTGCCTGCCTTGGCCTCCCAAAATCCTGGGATTATAGGCATGAGCCACCACACCTGACTAATTTTTATATTTTTAATAGAGCTGGGGTTTCACTGTATTGGCCAGGCTGGTCTCAAACTCCTGACCTCAAGTGATCTGCCCACCTTGGCCTCTCAAAATGCTAGGATTACAGGCGTGAGCCACTGTGCCCAGCCTAATTTTTGTATTTTTATAGAGATGGTGTTTCACCGTGTTGGCCAGGCTGGTCTCAAACTCCTGACCTCAAGTGATCTGCCCACCTCAGTCTCCCAAAGTGCTAAGATTATAGGCGTGAGCCACTGTGCCCAGCCTGCTGTATTTTCATTTCTAATTTATCAGCATCTAATATATTTATTCATTTGATAGTTATCTCTTCCTTCTGTCACTGAGTTAACAGCTCCCTGAGCACAGGATTTTGATTTTTTTCTTTCCTTTAACTTTGGTATTGTTCATGCTATATCTCCAGTGTCTAGAAAAGAACTTATCACATAATAAGTACTTGATGAATATTTGTGGAATTAATTAAGCACTTCACAGAAGAAGGTTTTTGGGTTTTTTTTTGAGATGGAGTCTCACTCTATTGCCCAGGCTGGAGTGTAATGGTGCCATCTTGGCTCACTGCAGTCTCCACCTCCCAGGTTCAAGTGATTCTCTTGCCTCAGCCTCCCAAGTAGCTGCGATTATAGGCGTGTACCACCATGCCTGGCTAATTTTTGTATTTTTAGTAGAGACAGGATTTCACCATGTTGGCTAGGCTGGTGTGAAACTCCTGACCTTGTGATCCACCTGCCTTGGCCTCCCAAAGTGCTGGAATTATAGGCGTGAGCCACTGCACCTGGCCTAGGACTTGGGTTTTGTAAATCCTCAATCTCCCTTCCCTCGCCATTTTGATTGTTTGAATTTTTATATAACTGTAGTGAACCAGCAAGTTGATGGATTTGCTAGTGTGATCAGCGGAAACTTTGCAATTTCTTTTTTTTTTTAAGGCAATTTTTTTGGATTTATTTATCCTTTTTATTTTATTTTTATTTTTATTTTTGGCTCACTGCAACCTCTGCCTCCTGGGTTCAAGCGATTCTCTTGCCTCTGCCTCCTAAGTAGCTGGGATTATAGACATGTGCCGCCACGCCCAGCTAATTTTTGTATTTTTATTAGAGACGGAGTTTTACCATGGTGGCTGGGACAGTCTCGATCTCCTGACCTTGTGATCCGCCCACCTCAGCCTCCCAAAGTTCAACTTTGCAATTTCTAGTAAGTTAGAGAATTCTGGGTAGGAAAATAATGTCTTGGCATTCTTAGAGTACAGATAGTCCCTAAAGCTTCTCTGGGAGTTTTGATAACTTTTAGGAATGTGTGATCTGTATGAATTTTCAATTACTCGGTCCTGGCAACGTGAATGGTATTCATTTGGTAACTTAATTATATGTTCAGGCAAGATACTAGTTTAGGTCTATTTCCAAAAATAATAGACTAATTGGAAAAGCTTTAGCCACATGAGAGCAATTCACTCCACTTGATGCTCTTGGCCTACCTCAGTATAAGTTGGTTCTGCCTTAGTTTTGTTGAATTTTTAATCTTACTGTACATTCATGTGGATTATATGCATTGTGTAGGTTTTAGTACAGTTGGCAAATGACAGCATTACCAGATACTACCTGGGAGTTAAGTTTCCCAGGATAATAGATTTGGTCTTCTGATCACTCAAAAGTATACTCGGAGTGGGCTATGCCAGGGGAAGTTCAGGTATCCTTCTTAAATAAATAGCAACTTGGTTTATCTAGTGATAAGGGGAAAATAATTTCCTGTTTGGCACTTTCTCCAAAATATATGATACTCAGTGTGAAAAATGAACTCAGGTCAAGATTATGTCTCTCCCTTTGGCCCAGACATATATTGAGTATATAGTTATCTTATTGATGCTACTCTGTGGACTGTGGTTCTTTTTAGCTTTCCCATAATTCCTCTTAGGATGACATTTATTAGGTAATGTAGTTTAATAAATGTTTGAGAACCTACTGTGTGCTATGCATGGTAGTTGGTGCTGCGGAAACAGTAAACTAGACAGGGTTTCTTTCCCTAGTGACCTGAGGTCTAGTGGGTAACACATAAAAAAAAATTATAAGAGAGGTGATGTTTAGAAAGGGTGTATAAAGTGTGCTGTAGGAATATATAGCAAATATTTAATGTGGTCTTGGTTGGTGTGGGTGGGGGAGGCTCATAAGATGGAGAGGGCTTCCTAAAGAAATGATCTTTTCAACTAAATACCTATTCAGGCATTTTTGTAGAATGAGGACCCTTGATCCAGTTGGCTTGGGTAGTGTAGCCCTTCTGTGCCTATTCACTCATTTGAAAAATGGGGCTAGTAATACTACCAACCTTACAATGTTGTGTGGACAAACTGAGTGAGCACATGTAAAGCATTTGAAACAATGAGTACCTGGCACATAGTAAGTACTCAACTTGTTAGTCATTATTTTTATGTATATTTTATTTTATGCCAAGTATCCACTGGCAGATTAGTATTTTGAACACAAGTTTGACATGTTTTTTTCCACTACATCATAACCTAACTTGATCAGATAAGAGTAGTAGAAACAGAATTCTGAAAAATAAGTTTGGCATTTTTACAAGTTAAAACCTGTTAGTGGCCAGGCAGTGTCTCACATCTTAATGCTAACACCTTGGGAAGCTGAGGTGGGATATCACTTGAGCCTAGAAGTTTGAGACCAGTGTGTGCAACACAGTGAGACCCCATGTCTACCATCAAAACAAAACAATTCTATTAGTATCTACTCTAAGAAGCTGCCAGAATTGTAATGTTTTACATATCTTTGAACATTTAAAAAATTATATTTGTGAGGCCGGGCGCGGTGGCTCACGCCTGTAATCCCAGCACTTTGGGAGGCTGAGGCGGGTGGATCGCAAGGTCAAGAGATCGAGACCATCCTGGTCAACATGGTGAAACCCCGTCTCTACTAAAACTACAAAAAATTAGCTGGGCATGGTGGCGCGTGTCTGTAGTCCCAGCTACTCAGGAGGCTGAGGCAGGAGAATTGCCTGAACCCAGGAGGCGGAGGTTGCGGTGAGCCGAGATCGCGCCCTTGCACTCCAGCCTGGGTAACATGAGTGAAACTCCGTCTAAAAAAAAAAAAAAAAAAATTATATTTGTGAAACTTGAGACACTTATAATTTTACTATCTGCTTTAGCAGTATCATTTAGTCCTAATTTAATCCCTGTCACCAATAGTATGGTCAGAACTTCACATTTTTTTTTGACTAACGTAGTTAGTGAAAATGTCATTGATAACATGATAACTAAGAGTTCCTGAATGACCTTGTGTGTTTCTTTTTATAGACCGTTTAATTTGTCAGAGCGGAAAGCTAGTGCCCATTCAATAGTAGAATGTGATCCTGTACGAAAAGAAGTTAGTGTACGAACTGGAGGATTGGCTGACAAGAGCTCGAGGAAAACATATACTTTTGATATGGTAACATGTGGTGCAATTTCCTGATTATCCACTAATGTAAAATAATTTTAATATACATATTTCCCCTGGAAAATGGTATATACTTAGAAATTTCATGTCTCTTTGAATTGTCAGATGGCTTCTAGTAGGCTGAATTATGAATTAGTTAACATACAAAACCAAAATTATTAATTCATGTATAATATATTTTATAATTATTAAAATAGAATAATATTGAGGTTTATTTTTTTAATTCTTTTTTTTGATAGGTATTTGGAACATCTACTAAACAGATTGATGTTTACCGAAGTGTTGTTTGTCCAATTCTGGATGAAGTTATTATGGGCTATAATTGTACTATCTTTGCGTAAGTAAAACACTGTTTTTTCAGGTTTATGAAAAAGCTTAAATGCGTGGCTTTGTTTTGTTTTTGAGATGGAGTTTTGTTCTTGTTGCCCAGCCTGGAGTACAATAGCATGATCTCGGCTCTCTGCAACCTCTGCCTCCTGGGTTCAAGTGATTCTCCTGTCTCAGCCTCCCAAGTAGCTGGGATTACAGGCACCCACCACGATACCTGGCTAATTTTTTGTATTTTTAGTAGGGACAGGATTTCACCATGTTGGCCAGGCTGGTCTTGAACTCCTGATCGTGTCCTCAGGTTATCCACCCTCCTCAGCCTTCCAAAGTGCTGGGATTACAGGCGTGAGCCACCATGCCCAGCCTGTTTTTTGTTTGTTTTTTAGATGGAGTCTCACTCTGTAGCCCAGACTGGAGTGCAGAGGTGTTATCTCTCCTCACTGCAACCTCCACCTCCCAGGTTCAGGTGATTCTCATGCCTTGGCCTCTCAAGTAGCTGGGATTACAGGTGTGTACCACTGGACCTGGCTAATTTTTGTATTTTTTTTTTTTTAAACGGAGTCTTGTTCTGTTGCCAGGCTGCAGTGGTGTGATCTCTGCTCATTGCAACCTCCACTTCCTAGGTTCAAGCAATTCTCCTGCCTCAGCCTCCCAAGTAGCTGGGACTACAGGCATATGCCACCTGCCTAGCTAATTTTTATATTTTTAGTGGAGATAGAGTTTCACCATGTTGGCCAGGATGGTCTTGATTTCCTGACCTTGTGATCCGCCAGCCTTGGCCTCTCAACGTGCTGGGACTACAGGCCTGAGCCAGCATGCCTGGCCTAATTTTTGTATTTTTAGTAGAGATGGGGTTTCACCATGTTGGCCAGGCTGGTCTTCAACTCCTGACCTCAAGTGAACCACCCATCTCGGCCTCCCAAAATGCTGGGATTATAGACATGAGCCACCATGCCTGCCTATTTCTTTTAATCTGTCATTAATAGTCATATGAGTGTATGTTTGTTTTTGATTTAACACTAATCTTGACAGGTATGGCCAAACTGGCACTGGAAAAACCTTTACAATGGAAGGTGAAAGGTCACCTAATGAAGAGTATACCTGGGAAGAGGTATTTATTGTTTATAACATATTTTTATCTCCAACGCGGTTGAAATTTAACTGAATAAAACTTGTTTGAGGGCCTCTGTCTTGAAATAGAGAAGATCAGGGTACTTGTGTCAAAATGAATTTAGGGTAAATCACTATTTCAGTAAAATTAAAGTGTATGGTATGATTCCTGTTTAAGAAACAGCCACACTGGGAGAGGAAGGACCGATATATATGGCACAGTTATGTGATAAAAGAGGGGTCTATTTACAACAGAATGGTTAGAGCAGAATATTGTAGAAAAGTTGGAGTATGAGTGAGGCTTGAAGGCAGGGAGGGCTTTGTACTGAAGGAATGAGTCTCAAAACATTAGCATGGCCAGAGGAAGTATAGTACTATATTCATGATGATCTTAAGTGTTCATGAAATTAAGACAAATGTATTATTTAATATTGAGAAAGCATATACTACATTTTACAAAGATTTTCATGGGTTTCAGTGAGTTTAATAACTAAAGGAGAGAACCAATTCTGGAAGAATGTTGAAAGAAGAACAAAGACAAGTTGAACTATAGCTGAAGTGTTAAAACTTTTTTTAAAAAGTTTAAATTTAAATTTAGTAATGTGTTTAAATTTAAATGAGTTTAATAACTAGTTAATTGGCTGGGCACGGTGGCTCACACCTGTAATCCTAGAACTTTGGGAGGCCAAGGCAGGCGGATCACCTAAGATCAGCAGTTTGAGACCGGTCTGGCCAACATGGTAAAACTTGGTCTCTACTAAAAATACAGAAATTAGCCTGACATGGTGGCACATAACTGTAATTTCAGCTACCTAGGGGCTGAGGCAAGAGAATCGCTGAAACCCAGGAGGTGGACGCTGCAGTGAGCTGAGATGGTGCTACTGCACTCCAGCCTGGGCAATAGAACAAGACTCTGTCTCAAAAAAAAAAAAAAAATTGGTTAATTTTCCACCCCAACGTTTTTTTTTTTTTTTTTTTTAAGTGGTGAGGTCTCACTATGTTGCCCAGGCTGGTCTTGAGCTCTTGGGTTTAAGGAGCCCAAGAGTTCAAGACCTCCCACCTCAACCTCCTGAGTAGCTATTACAGGCACATACTACCTTGCCCAGCCAATTTTCCAAATTGTTGATATTTGGGTAGATCCTTTCTTCTAGTGGTTACATAATTGAGGCATTAACTTATTTTACATATGGATAATAAAGTTATGAAATTATAACCATAGGAGATATGGAATAGGCTTAAAGCATAGGTTAGTGGGTCAGAATTACTGAATTTGGCTTTATAAGTAGATGAGTTCCATTGGTTTCCATGTGATGCTCAGGCATGAAGATGGCTAAGAAGTATGACAGGTTTATGGAGGGTGTGAAGACTACTGTTGAACAGACTGTTGTAAGTGACTTCTTTAACATTAAGTTGTTTCTTTTTTTTTTTTTTAACTTAGTTTACCATACTTATGTTTAAATATATTATAAAGGAAGTCCATGTATTTTAACTGCCACAGTAAATAGCATTCTTCCTTTATATTAGTCCTTTTATAATTTCAGGATCCCTTGGCTGGTATAATTCCACGTACCCTTCATCAAATTTTTGAGAAACTTACTGATAATGGTACTGAGTTTTCAGTCAAAGTGTCTCTGTTGGAGATCTATAATGAAGAACTTTTTGATCTTCTTAATCCATCTTCTGATGTTTCTGAGAGACTACAGATGTTTGATGATCCCCGTAACAAGGTAATTCAGTCTTTGAGAATGAAATGTCTCTGAATTTTAATGTGTGAGGCTTTGAGAAGCTGGGGCAGGGGGCGGGGTGGCGGGTGCGGAGAAAGAGAGAATGTGTGTGTGTGTGTGTGTGTGTACATGTGCGTGCGCATGTGCTTTAACCAATCTAATGGATGTTCTTTTGGTATTTTGGTCAGAGAGGAGTGATAATTAAAGGTTTAGAAGAAATTACGGTACACAACAAGGATGAAGTCTATCAAATTTTAGAAAAGGGGGCAGCAAAAAGGACAACTGCAGCTACTTTGATGAATGCATACTCTAGGTAAGAAAGCCATAGTCTTGTCTCCTAGCCCCATTTTCTTTTAAGAAGAATTAGGAACTTGGAGAAAGTGAGACTGCGGTGGGTCAAGGTACGTGGGTCACATGCTTAGATTTTGTGTTATAAGGAGGGGTTGTTGGTAATTGGCTTGAGATTTATAGGGAAGGGCCCAATATTGGAAGAATGTTAAAAGAACAAAGATAACTTGAACCATAGCTGAAGTATTAAACTTTTTTAAAGTAGAAGAATCCTTTTGTTCTAGTGATATCATTTATGGAAGCCCAGGATAAAATGTGGCTGCTGTAGTTGATTTTGGTATGGGATGCTCAGAGGCTTACCTCCTTAGCCTTATGAAGGGGCCCCTGAGACACTTTTGTGGAGCCCCCTACTGCTGTTAGAATACAGCTTGAAAACCCTTGCTTTGAATAGGGACTGGAAGAAGTCAGGTCTTTTAAAATGGCTTCATTTTAATGTGGGAGACAGATGGTCACTAACACTATCTTTCATGGGGTGAAAGGGATGATTTTTTTTCCTTCTAAATATCTTTTATTGAAATACAAAATTTCTTTTTAAAAATGGTTTATTTTCTTCTCTTACCACTCTATTCAGTGAAATATAAAATTCCTATCTTAAATTTACATAAGTTATTGCTTCTCAGCCTTTTGGCTAAGATAAAGTGTAGTAAATTTACATAAGTTAGGAACTCCTTTATTCTCATGAAGACCCCTGGAGGACAAATTTCCAAATTCTACAAATACAGTTTACTAAAACAGGTTTTTTTGTGTATGTGTGTATGGTCTTTGAAAGAACATCAGAATGTAATAGAAAAAGCAGTGGATTGGGAATTAGATATTGTGTGTAGTCTCAGTTTTGCAGTTAATTCAGTATGTGACTTTGGGTAAATAAGTGAATTTATCTGCATATCAGTTTCTGTGAGCTACAAAATGATTGTTAGAATTTGAAGTCTTATTTCTTTGTTTGCATGTGGTTGAAAATTTCTACAAAATGCCATAACAATTATAGTTGCAACTCTAAAAAAAGTTTACATTTAAAGCAAAAGAAAAATATACCATAAAAGTTATAAAGATCATGGAATTTTGGATGATTTCAAAATTTTAATTAAATTTTCACTATAATGGCTTTCCAATAAAATGGAAATTTTATTCTTTGGTTGATTTATAACTTAATTTCATGTAGAATTTAGAGAACTGAACTGAAGAGTAGGTAAAATTTCTTTAGGTATATTTCACTAAAATATAAAATTTCTATTGTTCCTTTTTTCTTGTATGTAGACTTGTAAAGGTCACTTTTTATGAATGTATGTGACAAAGAGAAATTAATTCAGTTTTCCCAAATCAAAGCTGACTTTAATGCTTATTTGTATTAATTCCCTAATGTGGATTAGGAATGGGTAGATAATGGCAGAAAATCATGAGATGAATATTATAATTCAGATCTATAGTTTACATGTATGTTCTTCCTTGTACCTTCCTCTTTTTCTGTAATTTTTAATAACTTAAATAATTTTTATAAAAATGATACTTTATTTATTTATTTATTTTGTGGCACAATTTCCGCCTTGTTGCCCTGGCTAGAGTGCAATGATGTGATCTCAGCTCACAGCAAACCTCCTGGTTCAACAATTCTCCTGCCTCAGCCTCCTGAGTAGCTGGGTTTACAGGCGCACGCCACCACACCCGCTAGTTTTTGTATTTTTTTAGTAGAGATAGGGTTTCACCATGTTGGTCAGGCTGGTCTCAAACTCCTGACTTTGTGATCTGCCTGCCTTGGCCTCCCAAAGTGCTGGGATTACAGGCGTGAGCCACCTTGCCCGTCCTTAATTTTTTTTTAAGTAATATGAAATTGCAAAGAAGAAAATTGAAACTTACCATATTCTCTGTCAACTGTCAACAGCATTAACAAACATAACAATGTCCACCAAATGCCAATGGATATAGAAAAAAATGTCTTTAGTCATCTATATAATTTTTTTTCCAGTAAGATAAGAGCAGAGTATTTGTTTTGTTTTTTGGTTTTTGGGTTTTTTTTCCCAAACCTCTGTACACTCTGATGTTTTTTGTTTTTTTGTTTGGTTAGTG